TGTCTATATACAAATACTTTATTTGTGTGTGTGTATGTGTGTATTGCTACTGAATTATGATTATAAGATTGTCATAATTACACACTACACTTTAAAATGTTGGAACACCAAAGATAAGATTCTTCTAATACCCGTTTTTCAAGCTTTTGTTATGTTGTTTCATTGAGTCATAGCTGAGCCCTGGTGTCTTCAGGGACAGAAACTGTTCAAGTGCTACTGTCATCTGCCACATGCCCAAGCCCTTCTGGTGCATCTCTGTAATGTCTACTATTCCAATATCCACTTTGGGCGCTGTCAGCTCTTTCTTCTTTTTCTGTCCATCTTACTCAGCAAGACAATTTTTCCATAAATGCTTTAGCCCTCATGATGTGGCCAAAATATGATAGTTATTGTTTTGGGATACTTGCTTTCACTAAACAATTCAGGCTTGATTTCCCGTAATACTTAACCGTTGGCCCTGATTGTTGTCCCCAATGCCACAATTCAAAGTATTTTTCCTCTCCTTTTTCCTCAAATTTCATCTCTCACATCCATTCACCATAATAAGGAAGACCACTGAGTGAACCATTGTGATTTTTATCATGATTCAAACGTCACAATCCCTCAATTCCTTTTTGCCTATGATTATATTCTGAATCTATTTTGCACAACGCCATCTATGTCAATTCTGGGGCCTAAAAAAAAAAATTGTCATTTTTCAACCGCTTCTATAACCACATTATCTTAACTTAAATTCTTCTATTTTTCTAGTAGCCATAATTTCTGTTTTCTTGATGCTCAAAGGGAGCTCAAATTTTCACTCTTTCGTTTTACTTTTAGGACGATCATTTTTAGGTCTTCTTCCATTCCTGCAATCAAGATAATGTCATTTGCATGTTTCAAGTCATGGACATTTCTTTTGATTTTGATCCCACTTTAAATTTTCTAGCCATGCAGTCCTTATGATGTTTGTAGATAGAACAAATATGATGATAGAATGCAGCCCTATGTGACAGTAAACCAGTAAATCAGTAAACCATTCAGCAAATTCTGTTCGCAGTGTTGCTTCCTGGTTGCAGTGGAATTTTCTTATCAGAAAAGTTGGATTTTTTAGTATATCTATTGCTTTGAGAAAGTCTATTTCTTCAATTATCAATACTATCAGATGCTTTGGAGTAGTCTAGGAAACTATACTTCCTTGTGATAGGTTATGATCCCAGAATCTTGCAATCCTGATTATACTTTTTCTCCCACATCTC